AGCGCGAAAAGATGCAGGTAGTTACGTAACCGTTGGCCATGCCAAGCTCGGGTCTTGCAGGAGGTTCTTCTGCGCGAACTAGACCGGCTTCCCCAACCGGATCGCGGTTGCTTCTGCTGTTGCCAGCAAACGCTGACCCAGGGACTTTGAGTAGTTTGGCAAGACCTTGTAAATTCCCTTAAAGGCTTCGCTGGGGTCCACACGATTACCGGAGTCAAACATGTGGGCAAGGATAGAGTTATTGATGCTCTTGCCTTCGCCTTTGGCCAGCCATGCTGGGAGGTGCTCCTGTATTCTTTTGTGTATGTGTATCACTTTCACACCATTAGTTTGCATTCAAGCAAAGTTTTGTGAAGTGTGTTCCTGTTACATAATTTGGTTCGTGCAAACCGAACGACTTGCCTATTTACCTTGTGAAGTACAACTGAATATGTTGGCAGCAGAATTGACCATTAAGCTTCAGAAGGCAACCAAACAAATCCCACAGCACAACCAGTTTCGATGGGTCTGCATAGCTGATGTGACGGAAAATTAATAGATAAAAACCGACTGGAAATGGGATAACGAGGTCTTGATGGAGCCAGGTTGGACGCTAGACGGACCGTTTGGCTTGTCTGAGACTTCAGACTCACGGTAAAGCTTCTCGCCGCGGAAAAGGAAGAGTCTGTGTCCCTGAAACGACATGTGTTGTTTGTAGCATAGTTGCACGTGTCGCTAGTTTGAAATGTGGGCATGTCACAGGGAGGAGACTGGATCGACACACTGGTTCCATTGATTTGCGAACAAAGTCATGGTATAAAGCGCTTCTGGATGCGTCTTGGTGCTGATCCGAGTCATTATCCCTGAGTGCGTGGAGTGGAATTCGTGACAAAAAACAGCTTGAGACGTTGTACGAATACCGTATATTATGTATTCGCGCATATATGAACCAATAATATTTATTGGTCGAGATCTGTCAGTTTAGAGATATTGTGTCACAGAGCCTAATAATCGATAGCAGATGGTTCGTTTGTGTCGGGTCGATCTTTGAACTGCGTGAACCTGTGGCAGTCTTCCTGTGAATACGGGTGTGTGTAAACGCCAGTACAGTCTTTAGGCCAGTTAACACTGACACCTGAACGCCTGCGCCGCGCGCGATGTTTCTTCGACGAGGATATAGTTTGATCTGCACTAAGTAGCAGGCTGATGGAGCAAACCTATAGTCAAATAAACCATTTGTCATCGAGCACCGAACCGAACAATATGGAATTCTCAATTTTCCATCCTAGTTCTGATACTGAGCCAGCAGAAGACTGTTATTTATGTTATATATAGATGCGGAACAGAAGGTCGGTTGCAGGCAGGACGCGTACTGAACACATAGGAGCGCACAAGCGGTAAGTCCTGTGAGTGATGGAGGAGTAAATGGTACGAAAGAAACATCAGGGACTGCGGCGTGTTCAATAAATTCTTGCAAGTTTTGATCACACGTTCATGTTCTCGAACGTTAAGTTGTCACGCGCTTGTCCAGTGGAGAATACAAAGACCAGTAATTTCAC